GCTCTTCATTGCCCCCCGCCCAATGATGAGTGAATGAATGAATGATTGAATGAACGAATGATGAAATGATTGAACGAATGATTGATTGATTGATTGATTGAATGATTGATTGATGGATTGATTGAATGAATGAATGAATGAATGAATGAATGAATGAACGAATGAATGATTGAATGAATTTAGGAATGCATGAATGAATGAACTGCCTGCGTTGCCCGACTCTGGGCGCAGCCCCTTAAATAACTAACTAATATGTAGTTTTGGGAGATCGAAGGTCCTATCAATGATGCCTCGAACCTTTCGGAAAATCCAATGTTTTGTGGCCACGCACTCCCCCGATCCGTTTACGAAGGACTACAGCCTCAGGTTTGCTTGCATGGACCTGCACTACACTTTCGAGGGGTTGGGGGGCTGAACTTCGACAAAGATGACAAAGGATCAGAAGACTTGGGGCTGCATTGAATACGTTGGCCCCGGCATTTGTAGCAAAACTTCAAACACGTCCCTCTGTCAAGGTGGCCGTGGACTGAAGCCATGAAAGTCTCAGGTTTCAAGGCCCACCCCAGAGGAGATACCCACCTTGGCAAAACTCATCAGGTATGCTGCACTGGCACTTCTGCTCCATCTGGGCCACCTGATTCTCGTAGTATTGCCAGGAATATGCCTTGAAGATGGGGCGGATTCTTCCGGAGGAATCCTGGATGGTGCTTGTCCATGTCGTGAACTTCACGGAGCTACCGCTGGTCTCTACGATGTTAGCGGTCTTGCCGTCCCCCCCATAGAACTGCGGCGCAAAGATGTCGACCTCCGGATTCGCCATGACATGCTTCCACACCTCGTCGACGCGCTGTTGGTAGTCGCTTGGATAGCCTCCGGGCGTGTAGGGTGATGTGTACGAGGTGCTGGCGATAATATTGAATCCTTTGGACTTGGCCATGGAGAAGGAGAGGTCCAATGCGCTTTTCATGGTTGTTGGGTTGAAGTCCGACGGGAAGGTTTCGATGTCATAGATGATGCCCTCATAGCTTCCGACAAGAGTGTCCATGTAGTCATTCAGCTTGGCCAGGAGATCTTCGGTGTACCACTGCTTAGCGTTAGCGTCGCCCCCTCCGAAGTCGTAGAACTTCTGCCCGCCCTTCGTCAACATGTCCACAGTGACTTGGTACGTATCACCACCTGGGGCACATCCGGCGTCGGTGTTTAACTGGATGACGCTGGCGCCACCGAAGCAGATGCCAATTGGCCCCTTGGGGCCTTTGTACTTCCAGGAGGCTGAGCCCCACTGGGCGGGGATCATGAACTGCCCGTTGTACCCATCCTCCGGCACCGGCGGCGGTGGGGGTGTGGGAGCTGGCGTGCCTCCCACGGAGTAGCAGACAGTGTCCAGCCATGCCGGCATCTGCGGAAAGCAGCCGTCCTCCTTCCCGCTGGCATCCTTGCACTTGCTGCTCTTCTTCGACTGAGGGTTCGCCCAGATCATGACGCCTCCGAAGCCTTTGCCTTTGGACATTACGTTCTTGAGCAAGTTGGGCGCCAGGGTCTGGCTCTTCGCCGGGAAGCTGGGGTCGTAGGCCCTGAAACCATCATTGCAGTCGACGAAGCACAGGCCCAGGAGCACCTTCGAAGCGTCGCCACCCATGTCTTCCACTGCACTCCAGTAATTCTTGGCGATGTTGTCATCGTCTACACCGATGGCAAACTTCAGATTGTTGTAGTACTGGATCGCCATC